CCTCCGTGGATACCCACAAACACTGGGGCAGCAAAACCCACAGGGCCACGAACTGTGCGACAGCAACAGGCATGAGCGACCCCAGGTGGAGACAGGGCCAACCTTCTCAGCCAGCTTTACTGTCAAAAACAGACCCATAACCACAACACAACATGAAGCAGTTGTCAATACACAGCGTATTCCCTCTGTAAAGTTCATCAAGTGTGTTCTCTCCCAAGCTTTTCTCTAATACACTGACAAAACACCTTCTAGCACATTTAAGAAGCTAAAAAAAAAAAAAAAAGGCAACCACGTATTTATATTTAAGATAAATGTTCTTCAATATTTGCCCTTCCAAACTTTGGCAGTGTTGCACAAAGAAAACGAAATTAAAATGATTTAGTACCATTAGTAAATGTACAGCTAGTACATATCCAGAAAACTACAGGCAAAAAAAAAAAAAAAAAAAGAGGCCCATTCCTCCATTACAGCATCACAACTGCCATGAATTGGCCTGAAATAAAATATAGTTAGTAGTAGGCAGAGCATTTCAGTTTGGGTACAGAATGACTTTAAAGCCATCGACAGGGATTTAATAATTTGATATTTTGTAGGTAAAATAACAACACTACCTCCACGCGCGGTCACATTTCAAAGGCACTCGAGCACACCTCAGCCAGTTTTTTTTAAGCAACATTAGGCAGTATTATGCCCATGATTTAATTCTGTCTGAGATCATTAGACACTGTTCTGCTCCAAGTAAACAATTACAACAGCGAGTTCTAGGAGGGCTTAGGCAGACAAGTGCCTTTGACATCCACTGGGGGGTAATTTTTTCCTTTCTTTTTATATTGGTATTTGATTTAGAGCCTCTCTAGAATGAGATAATTGACTTACCTAGCAGTTTTCAAGGACTGGCTTAAAGTCCAATTTAAACTAGGACACACAGCGCATCGTCTTTGGGAATACTGCATACAAATAGAGGATGCAGACTTGGGAAGTTCTTTTACTGCAGATACTCATGCCCTGGACAAGTGTATTTTGGAGTCTTAATTTCTCAAGAGGGAGTCTCCTATAGGAATCATAATTCTTCAGTGCAAAGTCACTGCAGAATAGAAAGAATTTTCAGATTCTCCAGATGACAGTAATAGAAGCTTCAAAAATAACATTAGCTGGAAACCTAATGTAAAAATCCTTTTCCATTCTACAAGGACAARTAAACAAACATGCAGGTTCCAAGCCTAATGCAAACACTAGGATACCTGCTCTTATGGCAAACCACTGCCTATTGAGAATAGCTGGTCTAGCAAGCGGGGCCACAGGCTGCTCCTCTGGAGCACGTGTGTTCAGTAAGATGATGTTTCTCTGCAGCACACACTGCGGCAGCTCTGCCTGTGCCTGCAGGTGGGTGCCGACAGGGGCRGCCCCGCTGCGAGGCCCCCCCGGAGCCGCAGGGCAAGGAGGTCCTCCCTGTGCTGCGCTTCTGCACAGCACAAGTTTCCTGTCTGCTCATTGGAAATGACTCAAATGGACACGAGAAAGGGCCCTTACTAGGCTCGCAGGATGAGCGGGAGCTGCCTGCTGTGGAGGTGTGCGTGCCGGCAGGTGCCTTAGCGCACGCAGCAGCAATCGCCCTCCAGCTGCMAGATCGAGGGGTCGAGGGCACTCCTCAGAGGCACATTTGGCACACGAGAGCCACTCGCAAAAAGGCTGCGGTAGGATGAACACAGCATCCATTCCGAAAAACAGAGGCATCGTGAGGAGTTCAACATGAGAACCTTCGGCAACATTCCAGGCTTACAACAGCAAGCTAAAGCTCTCCCATCAGGACCTGTAGGGCCAAACACTAGAGTTTCTTACTATCTATCAATAATTATGTTATTGAGAAACACACATAGTTAACATCAATAATTATGTTATTGAGAAACACACATAGTTAACAGGGCTTTCCAACTTCAGACAAAATAGGAATTACCATCTGCCAAAAAAAATATCCAGGCCAACAGATATTGATATTCTGAATTCGAGACACTGACCCACAGGAAAGAGTTATCTGCAACACAGCTCCCCCCTGCATGTCTTTGGCCTGGATTTTCTGCCATCTGTGATCAGACTGGTGGATCAGAGTACAGTTAATTTCTAGAAAGAGAAAAATCTTCCAAGTCATCAGTACAGGATCTAAAAATCTTCAGAGATAACTTCATGTTCACACAAGAGTGTCTTTAAAAAAAATACAACAACAATAAAAGCCAGCAGAAAATGAATTTAAAGTTTCAGTTACATCATAGGTGCAGTCCTGCAGTCAGATGTTACGAAATCCCATAATTGTAAGCTAACATACTGACTTTTTTTTTTGTTTTATTTCAAGGTCAAAATGTGGTGTGCATTGGGAAYAGGTAATAGATAAGTATTTTTCCTTAAAAATACAACATTGAAAAATTCTCTAACTGGATGAACCTTGGGGAAAAAGAAAAAGAAAAGCAAACAATTACAAGCAGTAAAAAATAGCAATCAAGCCACTGCAGAAAGATGTTCCAGGATGRGATAATGGCATGTTACACTGGTCCAAGGTCAAAACCGAAATACCTTAGGGCTGCGCCTCTCCTGGGACGGTGGCACTCCGATTTCACAGTATATGTCGATAGACAATAATAGCAGCAGATATTAACAGTCAGGTTATATTAAAAGAAAAATATGTAAACCATTCTGATATACTTAAGAATCCAAATATCAATCCAAGTATCATTTGCAAAAGTGTATGTCCATAATTCACGTACATCTGAAACAAGTGACAAAACTTCTATTGATGTCTTCAGAAAGAGTCTGATTAGATATAATCCTTTACTTCTCTCTTCTCAAGTATATTTATTCCACCAACCTCAATACAGAATCATTTTGCTTATCTGGTAAATTGAAGCTGTTTACTAGTTTTGGGAGAAAAAAAAAGAGAAACTCCTGTTTAATTTTACGCATTTACATATAAATATGGAAGGGAACAGAAAGGTGATTTATCTTACTATGTGTTCAAATCAGAAATTATTAAAAAAGCAGCAAAACTTCATGTTTAAGCTATTCCACTTTGCTCTCCATAAAACGTAAAAAATACCTGAATCATTTATGATCTGAATCATTTATAACACATGAATTTTCACCTTCTATGAATTCCAACAGAAAAGTCCAATATATTTCACCTCAATATATTTTGTCCAGAGTAGTATTGCAAATTGTTTCCCCTGCAACCATGAAAAAAAAAAGCACACACCACACCCAAACCAAAATCAACAACAAATAACAAAACCCAAAACTATCTTTCAAGCAGAATGAGTACAAAACATTTTATTGGTTTTTTTTTTTTTTTTTTTTGGCAGCTAGGTATTTCAATTCTATTACATAATGAAATATTTCATCCACCTTGTAAGCACTTAAAGAACGCTGGCAGATTCAAAACCTGCAACTGGACAAAACGCTTGACTGCTGGTGAAGGCCACGCATGAGAACCTGTCACACACATGAGATCCTGTCACACACATTAGTTCATTAGTTCCTGGCCTTTTCCTCTGCTTTTCCCCGGAATTCTCTGGGAAGAATCATCCCTATACAACTTCCAGCAACAATTAGCAAGCTCCTTTTTTTTTCCCTTTGTAAGTTTGTCTCTTATCTCTCTCTCACACCTCCCCGCCTGTACTTCTGCTATCTCCAGTTTGATCACTATCATTCCTTCTCCATTGATCTGTGGCAATCTTCTCCAGTCACTCACAGACTGCCCAAGGAGASGGATACACTGCTGGCTGCTGGCTCAGATGCTAATCTGCATCTTGTGGGAGGGATAAAGGATGGAGATTCCTGCCAGCRGTGCCTGAGCCTACGGACCGGCACACGGGAATAGCTCTCACTCTTGCTCCACTAGGGGACATCACAAGAACAAGCACAGAAACGGGGCTCCATAAATGTTCCTCTGCTTTCACTGCTCGTTTTTCYGCACAGCATTATTCTTGTGTTGGGCCATTTGGTTACACTTGCTGTGTTTAGTATAGCGGGTTGAGAAACCTTCATCGTTTTTCTTTCCTTTGCCTCTTATTCTGCCAGCAAAACTAGCCTAGGTATAACGGACACAAAACTTTCAACAGTTCAGCAGAAACGCAAATATTTTCTTAGACAGCAGAAATACACCAATAATCAATTTTTTTTTTTTTTTAAGAAAAACAAGACAAATTAACAAAACAGTCTACACTGCTACAGTAGTTTGGCAGCAGAGAATTTAAGATAATGTTCACCTATTTTACCAGCAAATTCTATAGGCACAGAAAAGAAATTGTCACTGACAGTTTCTTTCAAGATACTGTGGTGGTGTTTTAGGAATGTGCTTTTAGCTTCAAACTAACTGGCTCATCCTCCTATTCATACAGAAACTTCACACTTATATCAACCAATGTGTTTGGGTCTACTTTTCTATTTGTTGTGCCCAATCTTACATAAAATAAAATCCACAAATAAACATGTGAATTTTTCTTTACATTAAAGAGTACAAAGTCAAAGACTTACCCACGTGGAAGTCAATCCTTTTATATCATCCCAAAACTCTCAGACCAGYTCATAGTTTTATTTCTATCAGTCTACAATAAAGTGCTTCAGATTATTACCTTAACCTGTGGACTGCATGACTTGAAAACTATCTTTAAATGAGAACGCTCTAGAGCTGGAATTATCAGGTGTACCAAAAGTCTTCTTACTTGCCCTCCTCAAAATTACTATTTCAAGTTTTGACAAAGACGTTTATAAAAACGCGACTAAGCTCAGTTGTGCGCACTTCATGTAAGAAAATGTTCTTCCAGACTTCTCAACGAAGCAGATTTTCAGACAATCCTAGCTGCTTTAAAAACACAGAACAAGAACATTATAGTTAGTCTCCTGCATTATTCTAGTCTGATGGACTCAAAAGAAGCCAAGAGAGCTTTGTTTGGCATTAATCAGTTTTATGGCATCACAGAATTGTTAACAATGAAGAATTAGAGATGCACAACTGAAAATTTCTCAAGCATTTTATTTTATAACCTAGTGTAGAAAATGACAACATACAAAAATTCAGAAGTTAAACTTAAGCAAGATCTCTTAATACATTTCCCCCCCAACAAAGCTTTACCTAAAGGCTCAGAGGCAGTAAACATTCAATCTAATGAAAAGTGGGATTCATAATTGCAGTCTGCAGAATTATGAAGCAAACAAACCAGTTCTTGATATTTTGTTAGAAATGGTTTAGTTGCTGCAGCCAGTGTTACTGTTTTTACTCTTTTCCCCTAAATCACTTTCAAAATTGCAGTTTCTCTTGGTTAGTTATCTTCAGAGAAGTGAATATGTTTACTTGCCTCTTGAGTCTTCGCAAGTCTTATTCTTTCTGCTTTGGCAATCAGCTGTGAACAGAATTGAAAAATAGGTAAGAAGGTTGATTATTAGGAGTTCATCTCACAACCAAGAAAAACTAAACCCACATCCCCAAATACCCACAAACTCAGAAAGGTTGTTTTCATTTTCTAAAATTACAAAATTATWAAAAAAAACAAAAACAAAACAAAAAAAAAGAAATCCAGACAGGAGTCATCCTTCAAGTTGGGAAAAAAAGCACTAAGTATTACAGCCCTGCCGAAAACTGATCTCAAGAAATAACAACATGAGTAGTGGAATACAGGTGTTGGGAATCTGTAACTCTAATGTGTGTTCTATCAGACAGATGTTTCCAAGTTTTTTTTTTTTTTTTTAAGCTATATTGCCTAAAACAGTAGGTGCTTGAGACCATGTATTTTCAGGAACATTTGAAGCCACAGATGCTGAAGTGTGGTGTWACAGAACTGCTTATCCAAGTTCTTCACTGACTGCAAAACCTTTCACCCACAGCAGCACGTCTCCTCCTTTCTGCTAAAGCAGCTTTTCTCACCTGCTTTACAGAACACCAGTTAAGAGAACTTCCACGCTCGACCACTATGTCAAAAGTGAGACCTCCATCCACTCAGGACTTTAACACACTTGTATTTCCAGGGATGGAAGATTCCTCCCCACCACCACATGCTGGAAATCCAAATCACTAAATCCAGACTTTCCTGCTCTAGAGATACTGGGCCATCTAGAATCGTCTAATATATCTTGAAGCGATGTGAGTAGCAACTGCCTTACAACCCACCCACCCACAAGTGAAATAGCCATCTTGCTTCCTTGCAAGGACTAAAAATATAAAGAAACTAGAAAGAAAAAAGTTGGTTTCAAAAACATCATCATAATTTGGATACTGCATTCCAGCTTGCGTTCAGTTTGTTTCATTTGTTCATTTCAGAGCACACACACGAATCACCAGTGTTGCTAAGGAAAAGATGGCACTTCTTGGCTAATGAGAAAATCACTTTTTCCTAGTACAAAGGGATGAGAAAAGCTCTTGTTAAAGATGACCTGCTACCTTTCAGCCTACGCCTGCCGTGAAACTGCCCTGTAAAACATGCTAATTTGTAAAGCATCCATACTAGAATATCCATCTGATTTAATCTCACTAGTGCAGGCAAGTCATAGAAATTATAAAAAAAAGCACAGGCTTTGTTACTCTGTGATCCTCTATTATAATTTCTTAACAATAACTACGACGATTAACTACCTGGCAAATATGAAAATATATCAAAACAAACTATAAAGAAGCAGCAGATAAAAGACTTTCTAGCAACAAGGAAGTTGAGACTCTTGCGAACCTAGACACATCCATAATGCACCATAATAAATGTACATTAACTTATCTGATATAGACTGCTAAAACATATTAGCTATTGCTGAGAGCTCAGAGAAAGGGGGACTGTGGAATTTGAAAAACATCACATAAATCTAGTGATTTACTACTTATCCGTAAGACTGCGCTTGTAGTTTTGTTCTGTAGATACTACCTCTTGCACAGAGCACAGAAGTGCCCGGCGTGCTGCTGCACTGGTGAGAGTTGTCAGGAAAGACTCCCTACACGGATGTTGTGGTTCCACTGCTTGCTGCGAAGTTATTACAGCATTACAGTTATGCTGGCAAATTATTTTTCCTGCAATAGACAGGGCTGAAATTGATGACAACCCTCATGTATCCTCACCAGCATTAGAAATCAAATTCTGCTAAACAACACTTTTTTTCCCCCTGAAAAAGATTTTTTCCTTCTTCAGCAAGTAAAAATGATACTGGAAAAAAATATGAAGTCACTTTCACTGGTGTGTGTGTGTGGGGGGAAGAGTAAAGTTTAAAAAAGGAAGAGGGGGGTAAAGCAGCTCACTCATTCAACATAATCCATAGAGAAGAAGTACAAATGCTGAAAGCAAAGCACTATGATGTCAACTATCCAATTCATCTCAGTGCGTGTTTCCACTTCATCATCTCTGCTTGAGAATATGCACCATGCCTCAAGCTTCCCCCTTTCCCATTTTGTGTCCCAGTTAGTCCTCCCTTCACAAGCACCCAATTCTCACTTCCTCGCCAGGCACCTTTCACTACTGCCACTCCCACCCACTCAGGCGGCCGCCTTTCCCCCTAGGCAAAGGGGTGCACAGGGTGACAAGGATTGGAGCAGCACAGCCTCTACCAGACAGCACTGCAGCTCCAAACTCACCAGCCCTCGGGCCTGCTTGGTAAATAGACAACTTGAAGCAATCTGCAGTTTTTAAAAGAGCTTAAGGCTGCAGCCTGATTAATGCTTTCAACCTGCACCAACTAGAACTACCCTAAAAATCAGCCATTCTGGCATGAAGACATTTTAATCTGTTTTTAATCACTTCCCCAACTTGAGTGATCATGCAGTTGCACAAAAGGACATATAGGACCTTAGGACATAGAGGTGGCAAGGGATAACCAGGTGTGAGAAAGACTATGATAGTCTGTAGACACACTACAGATTGACACTGAATATCTTTTACTCTCCCACAGTCCAAAGGCAGGTTTGTAGGTTTCATTGTGAGGCTTGGACTATTTTATTTAGACTTTAGACATCTGTATACTATCGAAACTGTGCTAGAAGTGTGCATTTTGTTTGGTTGGTTGTTGTACCTGAGCATTCTCTCAGGCACCTGAGCATTTTCTCAKGCACAACTCCCCTAAGGATTCACTAGCCCTGATCCTAGCATACCACAACGCCTACCATATTCTCAGGAGACGAGCTAAGGCCATGCACGCTGGAACTCTTGGAAAAGCAGCTATGTCTAGAGCTGAGAGGCTCCTGACTTGCATTTTACACAAGTGTGCTTGGTTTTGTTGCGTAGCTCATAACACGATACCGTCCACACAACGATGTGAAAGATCATTACTATACTTACACAGACATCACTGCAGCAACATGGCTTATATGAATCTAATTTAAAAAATACTTCATTTCAGTTAGTATGTAAATGTACATCTGTACATAGCATAAAACCATTAATAAATGGGTTTTTTTTCCAGAGATCTTGYATCTCACATAGTGAAATGATTTTAAAACCCACAGGCATACTAATRGCACTTAGATTAACATTAAAATTAATGGAATAGAAATACCGTACTTAATAGGTTTTTTTYCCCTTAAGAGCTAACTTCTAAACAATTCTCTTGATTTGAAATAAACACTGCCCTCAAGTTGCAAAAAAAAGTTAAGTATTCTCCACTACAGTTAAACATTCTTCTCCTGATGTTTTGCTTAACAGCGTTAGCATTTAAATAGCACTCACAAAGCTTTGAAGTTAACACCTCCCGGTGTTTAAGGTGATGGCTAAGGGGGAGGAGTAGGAGTTGCATCCTTGCTGCTTCTTTTGTTAGGCACAACCCAGACAGTCTATATTTGCAAACCTCGATGAGGCACATTACTGACCACTTTGCACCAATTTGGGCAACAAATACCAATCTGTCTTCAAAAGATGAAGACTTGAGAGTTAGTCCTAAAGGAAGACAAAGATGTCACTGGCAAAATACTTTTTGTTTGAAATAATTATTTTTTGAATTACAAATGGCACTAAAAGGATATATGGATCTCACATTCATAGAGCTTTACAGTCTCCTGCTTTTAKTCAAGAATAAAGGCTACAAGCTAATATCATTTTTTATGCTTTTAGAAAATTACATTCATCATTTGGGTAAACTCTTAAACTACATATTTGTTTAGAAGGACTAGATTCACGTATCTGTGGGATCTTAGAAAATGAAGACAAACAGGATAATGATACACACTATGCCCTGTATAAGACAAGGTCTAGACCTTGTCTTAACTGCTGTTGATTTAGATGCAGTGTTAGATAGTTTGTTATTTCAATTAAGTATGAAAAAATAGGAAGCTTTTGTTATTATTTGTGTGAACTATGGGAACATCCAAGAATCCTAACAGAAAGTGCTACGTTACCAAAATCATTAGAAACTGCATGCCAAATGATTTCTATGTTTTTCAAGTGACAGTATAAAGATTTAGATTAAATCCAACTCAGTCTTTGAGGTGTCTAAAGCAAACTTAGCAACAAAATGTTCATGAGGTACTCTTTAGGCCCTCTCCACCAGGTAAAGGACCAGACTAACTTAACTTTAAGAACCTAAAAGGATACCAGGATTTATCGTGCCTGCCGCAAAGTCACTAAAAGGTGATATATCTGTATTAAAAACAGAGTGAGGCAAATGTCCACTTTTCTGAAAACACTGACCAACATGGAAACACAGTTATACTTCCAATCAGGTACAGGGAAATATAAAACACCCCGGCCCTGTCCACACACAAGCTGACTTGCCACTTACCTTCTCAGTACCCCGCTTCTTTTCTCGCGGCTGGTTCAGTTTAGCCTGTCTGTCCACCAGAATCTTCTGCCAGTATCGTTGCTCATGATCACCTTGGCACACAAGTTAACATGACAGTTCATGATTAAAACTATCCGATAAAAGTAGACACAGTATTTAATCTCTTGTGATTAGGAAACCATTTTAACCCATGAACATATACAYAAAACCATCTGCTAGGGAATCCTGAAATGTCAGTTCTAGTAAAAAAAATCATTTCTTTGTCAGAATACATGTTTTTATTTTGGATATCAAAACTACTCCATTCTTCCAAGCTTCTCTGCTCATCTCCAAGTTAGTTTCAAATCAATTCACAGAGCACAAATTATACTACATTTAATTCTTTACTATTAGTATTGAATTTTATAGTCACAGAGGACTGCAGCATATGGCCAACACACACAGAGGTGAACAGAGGTGAAATTCTCTGTCCAGGGAGGCTTAGCTTACAGTACAACCCTCATTCCATACCAACTGAGCAGCACCCAAACCAGGTTTTAGGTAGGATGACCTAAATGACCTGAATCACGTCACTTTAACAACGCTAGGGATAGGTATGAAATAGCACTATATACACAGCAGCAAAAGAAGGAGCTCAGTTTTAGCTAAGACAAGTTTCACCACACTACTTGGAGGCTATTTGCTTCACTAATGTACTTCATCCTTTGACCAACTTCAAACGATAAAACAAACTACGAAGTGTAATACGCTGTTCTTTAAAAAAATATTATTAATAATGAGTTAAATAAACAATGCAGTTAGAAGTAAACTCTAGGACTTTATGGGCAGCATCACCAAAGATRATTTATGAATATGAGGGGGAATATGTAGAATATGAGGGGGATTTAAGTGGAATTAACTCTGTGATCGTTTTGCAGTAAGAAAGAGTCTCCTATTATTTTTCTGACTTGCCCCACAGCTGTCTATATGTGAATTGTATAAAGAAATGGTGTGCAGTCTCATGGGAAATCTCTAGCTGTGAGTAAATGTCCAAGTGCTCTTCAYGCCTGCAAGAGTTATAGAATTAATAATTTGTAGAACAATTTAAAATAAACTTTAACTATATGATAAGTTCAGTTACACTAACATTTAAACATCACTGAGTATGTCTACTATTTTGTTAGATGAAAAACAAAGATGTTTAGTCAATGTCAAGTTTATTACTAAATAAAATATTGCTGAGTCAGCGTCTCTCTTCAGTATGGGGCATAAAAGGTTCTTTGCCTATTGTTATTCTCTGATTTCCCCTTACCCTACCAAGGCGAGCTGAAATCCTTATTGTGAGCACTCATACATTCCTCAGAATCCTTCCTATTCTCATTTCAATGAAGTGATGGGGGAGAGGGAGAAATCTTACYCACATGAATGGAAGAACACCACAGCCTAGTATGTAGCTACTGCCAATCTATTACTCTTTTATAAAAGGACGTAAAAAATGAGACAAATACCCACAGAATGCACAGCTGTAAAGAGCTGTATTTCTTCAAGCAAATCTGGATCTCTGGAACACAGAGCACTCTGGAAACTTTTTCTTTTCTTTTTAAATTCCAAAATGACATGAGCTGCATTCAGCAAGTCCCTAGCTTGAACTAATTTTGGCTTTATCATGAGGGTAAATATTTCCGATAAAACTCTTCTTTCTACAGTTCTTAATTGGGATTTATGTGGGTTTACATCAAAATATGCATGGGACAAAATATTTTCTCTTGGCCCTGTAAGAGGATCCTTGCAGGTTTGTGATGTAATATTTAAATTACTATATATCAGACAATGATTTGCATTGTTTTAAAAACTAATTTTTGCTTGTGTGTGTGTGTGTGTGTAATCTGCATTTAAAATTTCTAGATATTGTTGTTGAGTGACACTTCTTCTAYCCTTCCCTTCCATAAGGGGCTTCTTTACACACGAAAACCACTCAAGAATAAAAGCAAGATATGAATTTAGAACAGCAGAGCAACTCCAAAACAAAACAACATCTCTACACACAGGAAAATAAAGCTCCAAGTTTATTCAGTGTAGATAAAATAGTGGGGGAGCTATTATATAGAAATAAGCTAACCAACATTCTGAAAGATGATAAACTGGAATGTAAGCACTACCACTATAGGCATATTCACATTGTGGGATTTTTTGTCCCATAACACAATACCACAACACCACAAACCAGCATTCACCAGAAAAATATCATCAGCAGCTCTGAGTATAATGTCCTGATGATTCTCAGGCTGAAACGTGAATTGAGTACTGACCAGTACACTRGTCAGAGTAAAGCAATAGATGAAAAATCATCTTAAAAGAATAAAATTGGGTTAAAAAAAACAAATGAATTACTTCATAGTTAGATTGCTAAAATACTAATTTTTTTTTTTTTTTAGCTACTGTTCAGATCAACTGAAAATAGAGGAAAAAAGGATTGATTCATATACATAAACTACATAAACAATTGAATAAAGCTCCATAAAGCAACAACCACCCTTTACACAGTACAGGGAAGTCTTCCCTTGATCTATGTTAAAACAAAACACCACTACACACAGACACACAGCCACACAGCACTTACCAGTGAGGACTTCAAGCTTCCAGGGGTTCTTAATCTGTTTTTCTCTGTGTGATTTCATAACAATCTGGGCATCCTCGGGAGTCCTAAAGCGGACGTGGCATTCGGTATCTCCCTCCAGCATGTCAACATAAGCAACAGCCGCCATCATGGACAAAGCATCCTGCCCAAGCACGTGAGAACACAGACCGTTAACCAGACTGAACAAAAAAAAAAAAAAAAAAAAAAAAAACCACCAACAAAAAAAAAACCACCACAGAGAATCTTTGAAATGGTCATTAAGTACCAAGAAGTAACAATGAACTTGGCCATTTAATGAGCAATCGTTGTCAAATAATTTTGAGTTCATGCATTGGTTTTCATAAATATATTACTGAACTGAATTAGGAACATTAACCTTCAGAACATCTAATATATCTCTCAGCCTGTCCTCCAAAAGGAATTTAGAGCAGCTAGCTCTTGCAGATGATTTTTGCAGAAAAAAAATATTATGTGTGGACCATAAGTAATTTACGATGGAATACACTGTTGTATCCATACAAACTTTTATTTTTTAATAGAACACACACATGTCAATTCAATAGAAATATACTGAATTTATTTTTTTAGAAGAGCATAGACATGGGAGAATGAAACATAAACAGAAGCTCAACCACAGCAGACGAAGTGAGAAATCAGTACACTMAACCAGCCCTTCACTTCTTTATGAAGTGACCTCTGCCTAAAAATCTCAACCAATAGCTGAAGAGTCACACACGCTCTTTCAGAAGAAATACTTCAGTTATAATACCTGCTGTTAGGGAAATTAACCAAGATCACTCCTTCCTAGTCAATTTTGTTCACAGCAGGCATCTCAAGATGTTGCTATTCAAGAGTTACACACTGCTTTTAACCCTCCGCTACCAGACACAACGGACAACTAAACAAGGGTGAGGGATGAGAGGGAATTAAGTGCAAAGACTGTCAAGATCATTTTAGAGCCAAAAAACTACCCTCAGTTCTAGAACACTCACAGAAGGATCCAAATCATTTGTTGGTGTTGAGAGATAGAATTATCTCTGAGAAAAGGCTATATTTAACAGAAGAATATGGAAACACTAAAGTACAAATTGAGTGTTAAAACAGTAGAACTATTTTGCAGGTATCCTTTCAGTATGGGTTTGCTGCACATAACCAGAAAGAGATCACTTTTTAATTTGGTTAAGAAGGCAGTAGAGGCATTGATTTGTACCATTGTTCCCATAGCTATGACGGCCCAGGAGCTTAGGCAAAGCAATGCTTGGGAGAAGAGTTAGATTGGCCTTTCAAGGAACCAGTTAATGTGGTTAAAGAAATAAAGCTGAGTACTGAGCACATTATGCAGCTTTCAGACCTGAAAGAGCGGGCATAGCCTAAAGCTTGCAACGTCTTCCATCTATARTTGTATTTGGCAACTAGATATGCTCTTAAACTTGCCTCATTTTCAATTAACACTTCTGAAAAATATTTTTCCTATCCTCCTTATTCCTATAACCAAGGATGTAACCCAAGTATGGCAAAAGCCACACTAAAATCTTSCATTGCCTCCCTTTACTTTCATCAAGTATTAACCTTACCTGAAAGTCACACAAAAGGAAATTGAGTAACAATTCATGTCTATGGACATAGCAGTGGTTRTTTTCAGTTATTGTAAAAATGTTTCCCTCTGTATATATATGATTTGAAACACAAACTTAACCTGCTAAAACGTACAACGCAGCCACACTGAGCTGGCCTTCAGATACTACAGGGACAACCAATATGAGGGCCACACATTCTCCCAAGCGACTCCAGTGCAGACAACTGCCTGCAAATACCTAAACAGATAAGAYTGATTAAGTTTAAACCATATCAACAGTTTGTTTTCAGAGAGATATGTGCTTCTCATCTTGCTTAGATTTATGCACACGGTAACCGCCACACACTTCAGAGCAGCCACAGAAACTTCAAATGGACCACTCAGTTGTAAGTCTAGGTAGTTGGATAAGTCATCTCRGAACAAGTTTAAAATATTCTCTCAATGTGTCAAATAGACTATTAAGTATCTCTTGCAATAATGAAGTTGTTGGAAGTATTTTCAATTGTTATTCGTCCACAAAACACAATTTCAAGGAAAAAAGCACCCCTTGTCATATTCACGGGCTGAGAAAAAAAAGAAAAAAAAAATGACATCACTTTCATTGGAAAATGGTTTCAACTTTTTCATTTTGAAGGAACATGGTTTAAAAGTATTAATGTCTTTACGTGAAAACATTCTACTTACTGTAGAGAAATTTCATATGTGTAGCAATATACAGTTCAGGTCATCTTAAACATTTTCATGCTTAGTTAGAGAGAAAATGGATCGTTTGCTCCCTGCGCTGTTCCCTCGCTCCTTTCCTGCCATCCCCCACCTCCCCCCAAAAAAGAGTTCATTGCACAAGTTCTAATGCCATCATTCACCATCAAGTTGTTTCAGTTGTGATTTTCTTACTGAAAAAGAACAACTACTTTCCCATGCAAAGAGCATTTTCTTGACTCCACATTCTCATTAATGGTTGAAACATCAACTTATTAAAGATTGCTTAACAGTAAAGAATTATGGTACTGAAATTAATAAAACATGCTGTATCCACGCATTTTGTTTTGAACTTTCCAAAACACTATATAAACAGTGATTTACTTTTAACAACGTAAAATTTGCCACATTTTTCACACAAAAAAATGCAAGGACAAAGCAAAAAGGGCTGCAGCTGGAGGTGAGAATTGCTTACACTTTAGGACATTTTTATCATTATTTTCATTGTAAACTTGATATTGCCTGAAGCACTTTGTAACAGCTACTTTTTTTYTTTCTCTTCGCTTTTTCCTCCCCCATCCTTCCACACACTTCCTGATTCTGCCTTTGATAAACCTTCTATTAACAAGTACTACAGGAGAATCTGTACGTTGCTCCTGGCCAGATAAAAATTGGGTTTACATGGTATTCCGTATTCAAACATTTCGGGGGCACTGTAAGTGGACAAGCTAACAACCACYCCCGGAGGTTACAAGGACATTACCTTGATCTGCTTCCTGCCCGGCAGGGGCTCGCTGCTAATGATCTTCACAATTACTCCACTCACAAACTGGGGGCCCATTGTGTTACTCTTGGCAGGAGGGTCAGAGTCTTCACTGGAGGCTGGTTAATTTGAAGAGCAGGGAAAAGGGGAGGAAAAAAAAAAAAAAAAGAGGAAAGAGAAAAAAATCCCCATTAAGAAGTCATACCTGTAACAGTTTGCCAAATCAAAAGATACTATGAAACACATGAACAGTGTAAAATATGCATGTAGCAGTGAGGAGTATCAAATACTGGTAATGCAGAAATCCAGATTTTTTTTTCAACCTTGGATGCTGTCCAAACACATCTAGCAGCAGAAAATACTTAAAATACTTAAAATACTTAAAAGTTAAGTCACTGTGACCAAGAAAACAAACCCCCTAAAATAAATGATGTCCTAGGACTTACACAAGTTCTATTATACATCAGGGACTGTCCTGATAAAACACATTTTTTATTTATTATCATTTTTTTTTATCACTACAGCGATAGCTCCACCTTGAATTATAGAGCGTTATAAAATGAGCAAACAAGCATTAAACTACTGAAGTAACAGACAGAAGTATAGAGCATTAAAAAAAAAAAAAAAAAGCAGTTCTATTACCAAATTTTCTTACTAGAAATCTCCAAAGACCTGATTACAAGCAGTTTTATAGACTCCTTACTTTAAGCAATAGCTTTGCAAAGTGCTGTGGAGGAATGGTTAAGCCAAAGTGAATCAGGACCAGGTTATGTCATTTTATTTCCCAGGATGTTTATGATCTAAATTACCTAAAGTGATCTTTAGGCCTAGAAATGCTACTGGAACATTCTTAGACCACTGGATTGTTCTTTACTCCAACTTCTTTAGTCCTAGACCTGAAAGAGGTGCTTGCATGTTATACTACTTGGCATTCAGAAAAAAAGTCACCAGCATTACATAACCTAAAATTGCATTTCAATTATTCTAAACAACCAAGGTTTTAAACACTGTAACAATGTTAGAATCACCAAGAAAACAAAACAGGAAAGATGATAATCAGCATTACATTTGCCGTTTTTCGACTGAGACTTAGCGTCTGTTTCCATTTCTCCCGTCAACTCAGGTTTGATTTGAGACATTGTTTTCTTTAAGGAGGCCATGCTGGCTTTTTGAAGGGCCAAATATTCTTGCTTCAAATCCATCCACTCAGTCCTATGGACGACAACAAAGGAACAGAATGTGAGCAGTGAATAAACAATCAAAAAGGTTCACAAACTCAGAAACTTAAGTTATTTACAATATGTTTTATCCTAAGTGGAACTTGCAAAGGCATTTCTTACTATGAGTAATCTCTTTGCTTATCTTGAGCCCTAAGTCTGAAGACTTCGGGCTCCCTATTGCATTATTTGCTTTATCTTTTAATACTCCGTGCAAGTTCTAGCAAAATCCATCTGTCAGTCAAAAAGACTCTCAACTTTGTTACACATGTTCAATAACACTCATAACAGTTTGGTGGAATACAAGGATTCATCGCTTTCCCCTGAAACACACAGAGYATATGCACCACTACAGTCACAACTGATACACGGTGAACTCAAGTTCACTGATTTAGTTCACTGGATCCTCTCCTATGTGTTACTATATTAGGAATCAGGTATTTCTTTTCTGGAAAAAATCATTGATCAAAAAATCAACAACTGGTTAAACTCACCAAAAACCTACTGAGATAAGAACATTCCTTACTATTCAAATGCACTTMAGTTAAAAAATAACACCACATGGAAGCAATTTATATATTTACATACATTTAACATGGAGATGTTTCTGCAAACAGCTAGAGCTTTGCTCCCCAGAAACACAATGCCTACAGTGCCACTGTGAGAACGACTCATTGTTACCCTAATCTGTGCTATCAAACAAGCTGATAGAGGATTTTTAAAGAGGAGGATATCTTGTGGTAATGGTTTTAGCTGTTAACATTGACAACTGTATACTTCAAAAAAGCATCCAGACTCACCCAGGATCATACATTCTCAGCAGAGCAAAGACATTAAAATAACAAAAGACCCACCTAATGATTCTTTGAGATAAAAAGGCAACACCATTCCCTAGGAAGGTATGGTATAAATACAAGCTCAAGGACTTGCTCCTTGTTAACTTGACTGAAAGGAAGAGAAGGAAGAGAAGACCAAGGAGAACGACCCAGGCAAGTATTTACAATGCTTTTTTGAACTTTTTTCCTCCCATGCTGTATGCTCAAATTAACTGAAACTTGWTTTTTTTTCCCTTTTCCTCCCCTTCCCCATATTTGATGCAGCAGTTGCAGTATCCTAGCCAAAGAGGACGAGAGTCGCTGCTACCTGTGGACCCCTTTTACTTTAACATGGAGGTGCTTTCTGTGACTCAAAAAAAGTAAGTGCTTCCATGTTTTAGTAGAGGTGAATCCTGTTCTCAATTCTGAAAATATCATCGAAGACCAAGAACGACGTTTCCACTACACTACTGCAAGATTTGCTTGCCTAAAACCTTGAGAGGCCACCCTGAGGAATTTTTCAGCAAGCGAAGGAGGAATGCTACGGCTTAGAGGAATTAAATGCACAAAGTTCTGAATGTCCAAAAACCACTTCTCTGCACTTCAAATTATTTTCAACTGTTACCATGAAAATGGGAAAAATTTTGAATAGAACAATTTTGAAGGACCACCTTTGCTTTAACATGGAGGTACCTGCTGCCTAAAAAAAGTAAGTGCTTCCATGTTTCAGTGGTGGTGGATCCTAGTCTCTTCATGGTATTAAAAATGAACTACATCTCCAGCCTGAAGTGTTTGCATTTATCAGATTTTTTTTTTTGGGGGGGGTGGAGGGGAAGATGGGTAGTTTTTCAGAGCACTGTCACTGATTACCAGGATTTCCCACAACTTAAATGTGGATGTACTTGTTTTGTTCCTGAAAAGTAAGTGCTTCCATGTTTTAGTGATGGTGAATCCTATATTCTCAACACTGAAAACATTGAGTTCTCTTCCTAGAAAGCTTAACCAGACATAGGAACTAAAGAGAAAAAATGCCCAAGAAACTCATGATGTTGCCTAAATTTCTATGTACGGGTAGATATTTGTCCCAAAATGTAAGACTGCTTTTCTGCATTATTTCAACTTAATACTGAGCATGGTATCCTTGTTAAATGTAAAGCACAAGATTGCTCTCATTACCATTACAGCAAAGGACCCCCTCTACTTCAACATGGAGGTACTTGCTGGATGCTTGACAAAGTAAGTGCTTCCATGTTTTAGTTGTGGTGAATCCTAAATTCGCTGAGAATTTCTGGACCTTCACAACTTGAAATCCACCTTCCCCCACAAGCAGCCTGTATGTAAAACTGCAGGGTAATTTGTGTAACGACTGCAATTTATGAGCTTTCTCTTTTAACTACAGGCTAATACTGTTGCTAATATGCAACTCTGTTGTATAAAATTGGAATTGCACTTTAGCAATGGTGATGGACTGTAAGACATAACAGACATATCAACTTATAGAGAAATTGTAAAAAGTCTTCTGAATTGCTCAAATTCCAATGCTTGGGAACATTGTTCATGCAAATTCAATAAAGCATGCAAGCAAGTATGCAAAACTTGGTGATGGTATATCTATGCTATTGGAACGCAAGGAATTGCCTGTATAAAATACAAATGCCATCAATACATACATTGGGCAAGTTCTTCCCTTCCTAAGAACTTTGCATCAATACACAGAAATCTGTCTTCACTGGCTGGCACACGTGAAAAGTGAACAAACAGGGCAAGGACTCTGTCTATGCAAGTCCTGAGAGTTAAGTGCATTAACTTGTTACACATAGCATGTGGGCTCGTTATTTTGTTAACCTTTGTCTCAGTCAGGCTGCAACAGTTGCAAAAAGGCAAGAGGGCTGTTTCCCAATAAAAAAATTGCCATGCTACACAGAATAAACATAAGAACACGGATATGACCTAGTGAGCAACTACAATTGGGTCTTTTGCTTTCATAGAAATTATGTGAAACTCATTCATAATACACATGGTGTACAAGTGTTACTACACAAGTGTTATTCAGGCAAAATAATTCCTCAAAGTAAACATTTAAAAAAGCAAATAGAGATTAACTGACAATACTCATTCATACATATGGTGTACAACCCTAATTCCTCCAAGAAAGCACTTAAAAATGATCACTACTGTACTATTAGTTGCTACTGTTACAACATACTTGGAGAGTACTCTGAGCGGAATGACTTCTTCACCCATTTTGTGTCTTTCCTTGTGTTTTTTCTTATGCTTCCTTTTAGATTTTGAAAGGGATGTGTCTTTCTTCTCAGTCTCTTTATCATCTTCTGCTGAAACTTCTAAATGAAAGTCAAGAAAAATTGAGTTCTAACTTTCCTTAACAGGGTTTACAAATGAAATTAAAACAACTTATAAAAGAAATTAAAACAACTGTTGTTGAATAATTGATAAAGCATTGATACTTTGACCTAAATTTGAATGAAAAGAAAATTTAACAGAACTTGCTACTTATTTCTCATCTAGTGCCAACTCATTTTCTTTCGTATTTTCATCTTATCTAAGTTCTTATATTTAAATCCTAATTCATCACTTTACTGAAGTTCCATTGTTTTTTCAATTCAACTTCTGATCAGATTCATTCACTCGTCATTCTTTCTTGAATGACTCATTACTAGGTTTATCTGTATATTTCAAAACTGACGGTTAATCCTCTACTATTGTCAGGGCTTTTTTATCTACTGACCCAAACAGTATCAGGAAGATTTTAGTTCTCCAAATACAGATGCAGTACTGAAAAGATATAGAAGACGTTTTACCATTGGGCTCTTTCTGAGCTTCTGTTGTTTCCTCTTTAATAGTGTGAACTTCATGAATTTCATCCTTCTGAACAGTCTTCTTGACTTTGGCCTTTGATGCTTCACCATCCACGGAGCTGCTTCTTTTTCTCTTCCTTGGCCTGCTTTCCATAGATGCCTCGGAGCTCTCTGTTCTGCCCCATTTTCTTTTTTCTCTCTTAGCGGGCTGCCTGGGGGTCGCAGTTGCCTCCATTTCAGAACACTCAGAACAAGTCCTGTGTCTCTTTGACTTTGGTGCTTGTTCTGCAGTAGCATTTACATTTGCTTGCTTTGTTTCTACAGCTGCCTGTACACCGCTTTCTTTCTTGACTTTGGATTTCTTCTTTTTCTTCTTTTTCTTTTCCTCTGCATTAGAGATACAATATTTAAACTCCTCCTGTGATTAAGGACTAGATTAATGATCTAATTTATTAGCTTTTTGACATGTCATTATAATTTGGAATGTTAAATAAAATACTTGTCTCTATTGCATCAAAGAAAACATTCCAAAACTTTCTAAACATTTTAGGCAGATGAGAGAGGCAAAGAAAAAAAATACAGAAACCACAGGCAAGACTATGCCCGGGTCACATGTGAAGTTAGTCTACAGGTTTCTTGGAATGCTCCCCCTCAGAAAGAATCTAGATTTCCTCATTGTTTCTCCTTTCAAAGGCAACCAACAACAACAAAAGAACATTTGAATGTTCAGCAACCTGGGCGGATGGGAAAGAATCAAGAGGACAAGAGGGGAAATCCACAGCACATTTTCTTCCCCACATCCTTCACTAGCTTCAAAATTGTTTTAACAGTCTAGAGAATCTCGAGTGGGAAAAGAATGTTGTTCTTTGTTAGTAGTAGTCCTAGTTGTTACTGGTTAGAATTAAAGATATTGATAAGCAACTAGTGATAAAGAGCAACACAATGCTTAAAGGTAACACTTCCAAAGACTAGAAAACAAAGCACCTAAAAAAAAAAAGGCCAGTGAGGGAAGTTACAATGTGATCCTATGATGCTGCTTTATAGATAAATACACTGTGAATAGTTCATTCCCCCATAGACTCCTTAAATAGAGGAGGCGCCAAAGAAATGTCAAAATTACCATTTTCACAAGGAACTGGCCGAAATATTAGAGAGTAAATACTGGTAGGTTTGGTCCAAAACATATCAGATGATCATAACCTTATCTGAAGAGTATTAACATTTAGACATAATTTTGCTTCTGTGGTTGTGTCTTTCTTTTAGTTACAAATATTTTAAATCAACCTGTTATATTTTACTAATGTTAAGTGCTTAAAAAAAATGATTAGCTGTACAATCGGACAGCAGTTCTGCTGGTTATAACAATGACTAATCCTAGTAGATGGCCAAAGAAAAAAAATTGTATTTCCTTAATAATGAGAACAAAAAGGCAGAAATTTATCATATGCCACTTCCACAATTAATTTGATTCTACAATTCAATTTTATACACTTGCATTGGCCAATAGCAACAGAAAAAAACAGCAACAGGAATTTTTCAAGCTTTTTCAAGAGATCATGGTGCAGAAACACAGCAGTTCAATTTTTTTTTCCTTCAAAAACTGAAGCATAGAATAGTGCTTCTTGACCTCCAATAGGTTATTAAAACTTACCTACTACAGTGCTATTACTTGTATTCAGTGTAGGAACAGGCTTGTTCTTTACAGTTTTAGGGAAAATCCCAGGTTTCCGTGGTGCCTCTTCCGGTGGATTATTCAAAAACTTATGATTAAAAAAAATAAAAAATATAGAAAAAGAAAATCAACAAGTACCTACTTTTTAAACTTGATTTCACATCATTCATGTTATGTCTTTCTGCTTATTCAGCATTTTGCTTCTATTACAACTATGATCCTGAAATGAATGTTTACTGCATGTTTCGAAACAACGTACTACAAGGTAAAGAACTTAAAACAATCTTCTATCAACTAAATTAATTAATCTGTTTTTCTTTTAGATTCAATTTTCTATTTCTGCAATCAAAATATGCCAGCAGTATCAAGCCAAATTAGCCCCCAAAAAACCCACTACACTGAAAACACCCACTATATTTCTATTCAAATTCTACCTTGTTTGATAGAATTATCTTTTTATGAATAGTGAAATTAACTGAAGGTAGGTCTGAGAACAGAAAAGAGGCATAACTCCAGCCATATTTTATTATAAAAAGTATTTTAGAAATTTCTGTATCTGAAACGCACTAAGCTACACTTCCACTGAACTTAAAGACAATACTATCCATATTACAGTGACAACCACGAGAGATGTTACCAGAGCTACAATTACTAACCTCAATAGCTTTATCTGCTTGCTCTTTAGTTTCAAATTCCACAAAAGCAAATCCTTTTGGATCTCCACTAGTTTTATACCGGGGTATGCTGACATAAACTACATTACCACACTTGCCAAACACCCGCTCAATCCAACTGTGATTAACATTTTTAGGAAGCAACTCCTAAACAAAAGAAAAAAAAAATGTTTTATCAATATTATATACACATCTTATAAAGACTATTATAATGATCATCAGATTGACTTTTCGAAGCAGCAATTTAAACAATGATCTGAAAACAGATTTCTAACCAGAAGACTAAACGTAGCACAAACACCGTGTATATGTAATATTCATATTTTCATAGTCTTGTTGTGACCAATACCAGCTTCAGACGCTTCTTCGCGACAAAATGTTTCTCATACATATATGTAAAGTTACTACTCCTTGAAGAAGCACATCTTTCAAGTTCAATTCTTATTTTAGAAATGAAGGTTTAACTTCTGGACGAATTCAGAAAATATTACTATTTTTAGCCACACTATGCCCAGGAAAATGCCAAAGGGAAAGATTGTACTGCAGTTATAGCGCTAAGCCATGCTCAAAGGACACTTTGCATATAGATCTTAAAAAAAAAAAAAAAAAAAGAAAGATAGTCTTTAATAGAAACAAAAGATGTTTGATTGCTACATCCTCTCCAAATAATCTCATTAGGAATTTAGTAACTTCCATAACACAACAAGTTGCTTCTTTTGGATTTCCACACCATTTTTTTTTTTTTTTTTTTTTTTA